CTGCTTCCTCCATACACGTGATTAAAATAACATTCATGGGTCTAATTTGGCACATGAGAGAGGCATTTATGTGATTTCTTCAAGAAACAAAAATTTAAGTTTATCGTATATGTTAAATTAATAAGTAATTGTACTTAATCATGAACAGTTGAGATACCAGGGTTTTCCCATTCTTTCCAGTATGGTGCTATTTAATGTATTTATTGAAGTATGGTGATTAAAGTAATTTTCTAGGATTTTATTTTAAAATGGTTTCTTCCTGACTTACTGGAATTCCTTGAAGGATTATAACTTAGCCCATTTTATGCCACAATTCCATTTGATAGTAAGACCCACTGATTTCTTGGTAAACTGACCTTCTGTATCTTCTTACAGCCTAAAGTGTGAAATGTGATCCAGGAGGGCCCTTGTTTCAGAATATTGAGAGGCTGTAGCCTTCTGACACTTTGATATGGAAGCCTAAAGATCAGGGATCGTATTACCACTGGAAATCAAGCCAGTCAGTCAAATGGATCCAAATGCCAAATGCCATGGTAATAGATTGAATCAGGACAGGATCGTGCCTGGTGATATCTGTGCCATTAATTCGGCCATTGAGCTTTGGGTGTGGCGAGAGAACTGCCTTACTGGTGATGAACTCTGGTTCAGTCCACCAGAGTATTGCTGCTGCTCATCCTCTATTGGTTCCTTGAAATCCCCAGTTGAAACTATGGCCTCTTGTTTGTATATTGCTCTGCCATTTAACTGAATGTATGTATTTTTGTGTGTTTTGGTTTGCAGTTGTAACATTGTCTTGAATATTTTTATATGTAAGCCATCTATTTATATTGTCTTGAATAGAAATATATTCTCCTAAATATGGCAATCAGATTTTTAGAGAAAATATCTTCTTAACATTATATAAATATCTTCAAATAGGCCATCATTTTGGTTTAAGGGAGCTGGTAAATAAAATTTTAACTTCCAAAATGTATAAAATGAATAAACAGTAATACATCTTATTGTAAACTATTTTCTTTCTGTAATTATTACCTGTTGCTCAGGCTCTTAAAGGTGTATTCTGTAACCAGCCTGTATAGTGAAGTCAATCACAAGCATTTTGCCTGAAATATCACATATCTATGAGTAAAAACTAAGGAATAGAGAAATTTGAATGAAAACCAGATTTGTTTAAAGCATCTTGAAAATACCATTATATTTGGTAGGAACTTGATAATACAAAATGGGAAATTTCGCTTTGGAAGTCCCACATTTGAACATCCATTTTTGAGGCCAGTGGCACCTTTAAGAACAACAAAAGTTTATTCAAGACATGAGCTTTTATGTGCACGCACACTTCCTCAGATACATTGAAATGGAAGTTAACATATAGGCAGATGCCTCTACGTAGGTGAATAGCAAATTAGCATACAACTTAATGAAGATGTTTTGACATATGCAAAGACTAAACAGCAATAAGCTAAGTTCATATGGTCACTATTTGTTTGGATTTAATTAGGGGGGAAACAGTAAATATGTCAAAACAGGAGACAGATGTGTAAAAATATCCTTCTAAGAGTAATAAATGGTCATTCTGTTGTTACGTTCCATTTGTCTTCTTTCAAGCATGGAGTTAACAACATCCTTTTCTTAGAGGTGGGGTGCAGTGTTATGTCAGAGAAATACATCCAATATTCATTGCATTACATTCAATATTCAAATATACTATTCCAAAAAAGAAATGCAGTAAAATATAGAGGATGTATAGCCCTTCTTAATGAGAATACATATGTAAGGACTGAATGTGTTCAGCCTACAAGACCACTTCTGACTTCTCCAAACTTTGTTTAGTTTTGAAATTTGGGAGTATTTCTTATCTATTGACTTGGAGTCATCATAGGCTAGATCTTTCTTTGGGGGGGGGTTGTGGATGCTACTTTTCTTTTAATCAACTTGTATACTCTTACATACGTCAGTACATCGCTTTGGTCCCAATTCCTGGAATGACATCTGGACCCAAAGTTCTATCGAAGTAATTTGTGATGAAGCAAGCCATTTGATGGTTATGAACTTTAAGTTCTATTTAGAACTTCAGTTTTCTTGCAATAACGATGGTCCAGGAAAAAATTCAGTGAAGGAGGCCACTTCATGGTAATAAAAGTTTGCCATAGGCCTCCTTCATTTTGCAAATGGGTGAATTACACCGCAAGTATGACATCGTGGTTAGAGTATTAGGCTAGAATCTAAGAGACCTCTTTGCCATGAAAGGTTACCTGGTGTCCCTGGGTCAGCCACTCCCGTTCAACTTCACAGGGTTGTTTTGAGGATAAAATGGAGAACAAGAGAACGTTGTAAGCTTCTTAGGGTCCCCAGTGGAGAGAAAAGTGAGATATAAATAAATCCTAAAAAATACTGCATTCTGAAATCTTGACATATTTAGGTGAGCTTTTTCTTTTGGCACTCATACAGCCATGATGTACGGTGGTTATGAGAAAATCAGTCTAGGGTTTGATCTTTAATGCTGGAATGTGAAGGTCAAAAACCTGCAAGAATCCTGCTCAAAAAATTTGAAGTGTTTCTATAGTTTGAGAAATATTTTCAGCCACAATCCATGTAAGAGTTTTAGTTCA